TAGCAAACTCACCAGCCTAAGGTGAGACTACTTCTGTAGGAGCGCTGGGGTAGCTTAGTGGTGAACGCATTCGCTCGTCACACCGAAGACCTGGGTTCAATTCCCCACATGGGCACAATGTGTTAAGCCCATTTCTGGTGTCCCCCGCCATGATATTGCTGGAATATTGCTAAAGGTGGCGTAAAACTACACTCACTCACTCACACACTTCTGTCACATGTGCTTCATTGTGGTACAGGACTATAGTCCTAGAAACTCTCAGGAGTCAAGCTGCCAGACTTGGCAGATGCATTCACAAAATACTATAAAATGAAACTACACCTTTAAATTTGTTTTGTTCAAATTTTGCAACACTTCAGTATGTGTCTGGCAACACCAAATTTGTATTATCAAGCCAGCAGAATCAACAACAAACTACTAAAATTACAAAGAAAACCTTTCATCCACTATGCCTATGTCATTCAAACATGTTGACCATCCTCAGATATGACGTGTTACTATGCACAGAGCATATTTACTTTATCTGACCCTAAAAAGTGGTCAAGTAGCTTGTCATTTAACAACTTTCAATCACAGTAAAATCTGAGAATCATTGCTGAAAGGTGATATTTTTTTTAGAAATTAGACATTGTTATCTTAAGATATCAGCTGCATTTATTAACACGTTTATCGCAATTATCAATTCATTCCTAAATTGGATGTGCATTTAGGCATGTTTAAAAATATATTACTGTTATTTTCATTCCTGACTAATGATGACACAGCATTATTCACTTGTCCACTAACGATACACTGCTTTTGTGGATATATTCAACAAAGTGGTCAATTCAGCATGTGTGTTTTGATATGATTTTACGATGGATCTATTTACTCCTTTGTAAAGAAAATCTGATGGATATTTGCAATGGAATGGCTCGATATTTATGGGCTAATTTACAGGCATAACATGAACTCATGTTCTAATGTCCCAAACCTTTTCCATTACCCAAACATTAATCCTTTCTTTAACAGATTTTCACGAAAGCCAAGGTTGTAATAAAGGAGGTATTTCATGATGAGATTTGTCTGACAGAGAGTGAGCAGACTGTCAAACAGCTGGTCAGTGTAACGACTCGACCTCTGCTTTAGCAGTACTTAATTAGCAAGGAATTAGATTGTGGCGAAGAAAGACCTTACGATCGATATCTTTACGTCTAGAAACCATTGTCAATTCTATTAGTCTTTCATGATCATATTCCCCTTAGTGTTGGTCTTGTAAATCAAATCTGATTACAGTAATTGATGTCAGTATGGGATTCTCACCATATAGGATTGGTTTTATCTTGATGTTTTTTTACCTTCTGATCCATTTAGGGTAAGTTACACTTTGATATTTACTGTTGCTTCTTGTATTGACTTGTCCATATGTTTAGAAGATTAAGAGGGATAATATGGAATCAAAATCACTTAAATTTCTTTAACAGTAAATTGCAGCCATTTGTTTTGTGTTGAAAAGATTGTTGATTATAATAGTTTTTCAAAAAAACATCTTATATCTTACCTAAGGATACTAACCCAAATCAGGCAATTTCACTGTGCTAGGAAGATTGTTCTTGTGGTTTTGGGTGGTTAGGTGGCCCAGTGGTTAAAGCTGTCAATGGTCATGTTGAAGATCGAACCTGTGAAGATCCGGGTTAAAAGTGGTCTTCAGCAACCCATGCATGTCATAAGAGATGACTTATGGGACAGGGTGGTCAGGCTCGCTGACATTATCCCAATGTTTAGAGGGGCTGTGAGGTAGCCAAGTGGTTAAAGCGTTCACTTGATGACCAGGGTTCGTTTCCGAAATGGGTACAATGTGTGAAGCCCATTTCTGGTGTCCCCCAACTGTGATATTGCTGGAATAGCCTCTGATATTGATAAAAGCAACGCAAAACTTACCTCACTCACCAGTTGCGTAGATTGATGCTTAATGCTATTGATCACTGAATTGTCTGGTCCAGACTGGATTATTTACAGACCACCGCCATGTAGCGGGAATGTTGCTGAGTGTTTAGAAACACACAAACAAACATCATGTTGAAAAGCAAGGTTTGAACCTTATATGCATTCAGCCTGTTTCTTGTGTTCCCCACCAACAAATTGTTAGAATGTTTCTAAAACCAGTTTAAAACTGTGTTTTCTCATACTTGTCACATTTATCCTGTTTATCCCAAAAGGTGATAATTATCTTGTATATTTTCAAGTTTTCATGAAAGCAAAGTCATATAGAAAATACCCAAAACCCTGTCAGTAGCACCTTAAATATTTTAAATGATTAGTCGAGTTTTTATTTGATTTTTATTTAACAACAAAATTTGTTTCTGTTTTCACCTGAAAACATTTCTACTGGCATCTCAGTATGTCTATTCACCTTGATGTTTTTAACATTGAGAACATTGGATTTTTCCACCTGATTAACTCCATCTCTTGGTTCTTTCCTAAATGGTAAAGACATACCTAATGTTCTATATCAGAGCCAATAAAGAAAAAAGCTCTGAGAGAAAACTATATGTTTTATGTCACAGGTGAGTGATGACAAATTTGTGCAAAGACTATTGTTTGGGAATTTCATATCAACAAAAACGGTTGCTTTTCGTCTTTTGCAATTGTCAATAACAAGTCTGTTTCCGTCTGTCTAAATGTGTCTCTATCACTATAGCATGTATGTGATATCATCAAGGACACAACTTTCATATTGATTATCGTTAATGTTTAGTTTTTGCCATCCCTACTGTGTGCCTGGACTGACAAGATGGAAATATAATGATACGTTCCTGACGAATGGTGCCTTGTTAAGACAGTGGTGTGGAGGTCACTGTGTAATCAGGGTCACCACCTTGTCTTGATGACACATAATTGATAGTCAGGTGTTGCATACTGTATTCAGTTGTGCATTGAGACAATTATATCTTGCCAGCTGGAGGTTTCATCAAAGTAATAGACTGTACAGTTGTTATTATGAAAATGAAATAACAAACAAATTCAGCATGTTGTTTTGTATATGTAGGTCAAATAATTGGGTAGTAATTGCTATCATTAATATGAAAATGAAATATTAAAAACTTAATTAAACAAATTCAGCATGTTGTTTTGTATCTGTAGGTCAAATATTTGGTTAATAATTGCTATTATTAATATGAAAATGAAATATTAAAAAATTCAGCTTGTTGTTAAACAAATTCAATGTTGTTTAATTGCTATATTAATATGAAAATGTAATATTAAAAACTTAATTAAAAAATCAAATATTTGGTTAATAATTGCTATTATTAATATGAAAATGAAATAACATAAACTAATTAAAAAATTTTGCATGTCGTTTTGTATCTATAGGTCAAATATTTGATGAACAATTGCTATTATAGATAAAGGTTTGAAGCAATATTTTTCTGATAACAAATTGTGTGCATGCGACTTGAGTGCAGTTTTTGAACATAGGTAATTTGAGGAACAGCATCAGTTAGCATTAACATCAGACTACAATATAAACTGTGTATTTGCAGAACAACAGGAAAATATCTCACCACATGATAACACCAATATTTTTCAGCTATTTTGAAATAAAATATACCAAATATTGTGACATTAGGCAACAACCCTGTGGTGTAACAGTTTGGATTTTCAGCTCACGTATTTCTTTACAAGTGTTTGTGTACTAATTGAATGCAGGCAATATATATACATGGACTCTCTTGCAATGAATAATGCACATGTCCCTCATCGCACTGTTTAACCTACACAACGTAACCTCAAACTAGCGGCTGTTGATAAGTCATACAACCAACTTTGCTGTATATTTTCACATAGTTACCTTAGTTGAGGACAGCGTTTGAAGTAGAATTTTTAAAATGTCTGCTCTTTGGTATATGTCATATAGAATGATATTGAGTAAGGTATATTGAATACCAACAAATAGTCACAATTCACTTGCGTATTTGGTGAAACAAACCACATCTCTTCATGAATTCACTCCGTTATTCGTGCTCACTAGAATCGAATATTTTTTAAAGAAGTGTTTTTTCAATATGAACTGATCTGATATTTATCAAAGTGTTACGAAAAATTGAATATGTACAAGCCATACAGTAGCAGTGTGTGAAATAGCCACTGGCCCGCTAGCCAGTGGCTTGTAAAATCCAGTCGGGCCAGTAAATCGCCATAGTCACTGGCCCGACTGGCTAGTGAATTTCATGGGGTCATTTTGTAAATATATCGTGATTCTCTTCGGCTCGTTAAGTTATAATACACTTTTAAATCATGCAAGATTATGGCCTGATAAAAATGTTCATCATACTGGATGCTCAACAATGAAACCCAGGCCTACATTCACATTTCGGGCTAGTAAATTATTTTGTGGGCTAGTAACCTTCAGGAATAGCTAGCCCGACTGGCTGTCAAAATCTGGAGACTATTTCACACACTATACTGTAGCATGACTACTGTCATTTCACCAAGACCCTTGGGACTGTCATTAGGCATTGTTATGATACTTTTGTGCCTTACCCAAAAAATATTATTGAAAAGTTTCAACCTAAGCAAGTGCATATTTAATTTATTTTATTATTATTTAATTATTCACATTCGTTACCCTATATTCCTGAAACAATTTGTATTCGTCTCATGGTGTATATGGTGCAGCCCTGTCCTGGCTCTTTGCCCAGAGTAAACAGACAGTAAATAATTATTGCATCCCTGTTACATCATCTCTTCTTTCAGTGTACATGGTCATTGTATATGAAATTCTGGGGCGTTGGGGTAGCCTAGTGGTTAAAGCATTCACTTGTCATGCCGAAGGCCGGGTTCGATTCCCCACATGGGTACAATTTGTGAAGCCCATTTCTGGTGTCCCCTGCCGTGGTATTGCTGGAATATTGCCAAAAACGGCGTAAAACCAAACTCAGTCAGTCAGTATATGAAATTCTAACCTGCATACCCACACAATCTTAACAAAGAATCATATCCGTTTCTATCTGTTTCAGGGCGATCTGGCAAAGAAGAAAATTTACCCTACATTATGGTAAGAAGGAGAACCTGTTTTTCTGTTAAGTTGTTAATGTCTTTGTCATTATGATCATTAATCTGTAATTTTAAAGAATAAATTTTAAAAATCTTTATTTTGAAAAATGATAAAAGCAGTTGCCAAGTGACAAACATATCACACATCTCTTCAGGTGGCTCTTCAAGGATGGACTTCTTCCTCCCAAGACCTTCTTCATTGGCTATGCCAGGAGCAATCTGACAGTAGAAGCTATCAAGAAGCAAAGTATTCAATACATGAAGGTGAGCTAACAACAGTCATTCTGAAGGCCAACACACCCGTGAAGGTTCCAGGTTAGAATTGGTCTTCAGTAACCCATGCTTGTCGTAAAAGGCGACTATGCTTGTCGTAAGAGGCGACTAACGGGATCGGGTGGTCAGGCTCGCTGACTTGGTTGACACATGTCATCGGTTCCCAATTGCGCAGATCGATGCTCATGCTGTTGATCACTGGATTGTCTGGTCCAGACTCGATTATTTACAGACCGCCGCCATATAGCTGGAATATTTCTGAGTGCAGCGTAAAACTAAACTCACTCACTCACTCACTGAAGGCCAACTCCCTCCCAAGTTGGGTGAAGCCCATTTCTGGTCTCCAAGGCTTCGATATTGCTTGAATTTTGCAAAAGGCGACATTAAACCAACACACCACTGAAGCAGTGTAACCAGTATGGGCATGAGTTAGACTACTGCTTAGTCTCTGAATATGTATGATTTTAATAGAAACAAATATTTGCTTTTAAATTGAAGAGTCCCAGTGAGATGGGAGATTCTGAACTTGAGGAAATCTGAACTTGCTTCATTTAGGGCTTTAGCATTGCAGCGAGGGCTCGGTGGAAGGGAAAATAATGGGGTTCAGAGACTGTGACTAAGGCTATAGTAAGTCACACGTTCAGCTGCATAATGCTTGGATCCATGGGAAAAGCCTTTATTCACTCACATGCTTCACCTCCAGGTAAAGAAAGGTGAAGAAGCAAAGCTGGAACAATTCTTCAAGCTCAATGAGTATGTGGCCGGAAGCTATGACAAGGCAGATGGCTTTTCCAAACTGAACAAGGCCATCAAACAGAAGGGAGATCCTAACAGGCTGTTCTACCTGGCCCTTCCACCATCAGTCTTTGAGAGTGTCACCCTCAACCTCAAGGCAGTCTGCATGTCAGAAAAGTAGGTACTTCTTGCAATTTTGTTTTCTGGTATGTAAATTTAAGCCCCCAGTGTTAAAACTTCATATGTCCATTTCGGTTTCAATAGGGCAATGTGCAGTCTGTACAATGTTGCAATTTTATATTATGGTATATTAACATCTTAAAATGTCGAAATGTTCTAGGTATCTACTCATATCGAGTGCAGAGTGTAACATTCACCAGCCAGAATTCCCTGATATATTTGTTTCATAACATAACCAGAAACAAACAAAAATGCAAACATGAGTTAAATTGTGAGCATCAAGTATGCGTGCTTGAAGGCGTGTGTAATACAGATAATGGGAAATGAATAAATTAGTACCTGGCTTGTGTGTCAAACTTTAAGAATTCATTTATTACATACTTGTGAAGATCTGGGTTAGAATTGATCTTCAGTATCCTATGCTTGTTGTAAGAGACGACTAACGGGATCAGGTGGTCAGGTTCACTGGATTGGCTGACACATGTCATCGGTTCCCAATTGCGTGGATCGACGCTCATGCTGTTGATCACTGGATTTTCTGGACAAGACCTAATTATTTACAGACAGAGTATGGCATAAAACAACAACCAAAGCATACCAAATCATATTAGTATCATGATAGACTTGTTACGGTTGTTCTGCTGTAGATGCCACCAGAACTGTCTCTGAGTGAACCAAACTGAATTGTGACACCTTTTGATAATTTGGCTGAGAATGTTACCAGAGGAATATGGCATAACTTCTTTCAACTAGTGTTGAGCAAATTGCCAATCACAATTATGCAATGTTAGTGAGTTCTTCCCCAACATTTTCTGAAGAGCAACTAAAACCCACATCTGTTTGAAGAAACATTAAACAGATTCTTATTTTGGACATCATTCACCTCTACTTTGTTTAGGTCAATGAACCTCAAGTTTCTCTGTAACCATGAAAAGAAGGCAAACGGTTCATTTCTACTGATTCCACTTCAAATCTGTGGTCTGTGGTAAAAAAGAATATACCATTCATCCACAATTGTATATAAACGTAATCATCTTTATGTCTCTTGTGAAATATTTTCTGCTTGACTGAAGTTTACCAGTTCACCATTGGAAATCAGAAATCAATGCTATGGATGACAATTTTGTTTTGTGTAACATTGTTGTACGGTCAATCTTGAGGTACATTATAATGATTGTATCATGTGTGTCTGCATTGCAATGTATAGGGTTAACCAGTGGTTAAAGCATTCACTCCGCATAACAAAGATCCAGGTTAGATTCCCTACATGGGTACAGTGTGAAGTCCATGTCTGGTGTCCACCCAACATGATGAAACTGCTGGACTATATTACTAAACACTGAGTAAAACCATACTCACTCACTTTTGCTAAAGGGGCGGTGGGGTAGCCTAGTGGTTAAGGTGTTCGCTCGTCACGCCGAAGATCCGGGTTTGATTCCCCACATGGGTACAATGTGTTAAGCCCATTTCTGGTGTCCCCCGCCGTGATATTGCTGGAATATTGCTAAAAGCGGCGTAAAACCAAACTCACTCATTCACTCACTTTTGCTAAAATATCCTTTGGAGTAAAATATACAAAGTTTATGACAAGTTCACCGATTTTACAAGTTGGCCTTGTTGTCATTTGCTATGTGCTGTAGTCAATATGTCTAGAACAAACTTTTGTTATAATGAACCTAAGTTAGTGGTCCCCTTGAGTTTGTTATAACTCTCGTTTACTGTATATTAAAATTAACACTTCCAGAGACAAATGGACCCGCATCATCGTAGAGAAGCCATTTGGACATGATCTGGACTCATCCAATCGTTTGTCAACCCATCTGGCGGCCTTGTTCCAGGAGGAACAACTGTACAGAATTGACCACTATCTTGGCAAAGAAATGGTACAGAATCTTATGGTTCTCAGGTGAGACATTTTTTAACACTAACAGTCTTTTGCTGGTCCAGAACATTCATTCCACAGGACATTTGTGATGTGTGTCATTATTGTAGTGGCCACTTTGGCCTGTTTGTGAGCAATGGTGATCACCCATCTAGGATCTCAGGTTGTGGACAGTGACCACTCTTGGGTTCTATGAGGGGAGAATATCAGGCAGTGTAAAAATCTCTGTCCTTAGTTTGTACCAACAAATGTTCTGAATTGAAATTGTCTTCTGTCAACTGGGTCAGTTTCTGAAAATAAACCCATAAGAAATAAGGCTCAGGGTAAGTTTCAGTTAGGAAAGTTTATAGCTGGACAGTCTAAGACAAACCTTTAATCTACATGTCCGAACATAACCTTAGCATGATACGTTTTGTACAATTCAGTGTTATCATATTCACTTGTATTTGCAACTTGTGAAGATGCGGGTTAGAATTGCTCTTCAGCAACTCCTGTTTATCTAAGGAGGCAACTAACGGGATCGGGGTGGTCAGGCTTGATGATACATGTCATCGTATCCCAATTGCATAGATCGATGCTCATGATGTTGATCACTGAATGGTCTGATCCAGATTCGATTATTTACAGACTGGCGCGCACAGCTGGAATATTGCTGAGGGCAGTGTTTAACAACAAACAAGCTCATTTACACATGCTGGTTTAACGATGAATACAGAGTTAGTTTTTTTAGATGACACTTATCATGGCCAGGTTATGTTTGGGTTAGATTTTCATCCTTCATGTCTGGAAATGTCCTGAAAATGTCAGCAACGTCAAGACAAATGTCAGGACATACATTAGTGTTTCATCTATCTTTAACAGTGCTCAGTTTGGTATTTCATAGCTTTAATTTTCCTGTGCATCATGTCCCTAATTTATTATCATAAGTCTATTGCATCCATAATTGACTGCCATATACTTGGTCCAGAGCTTTCATCATAATAGAATGGAAATTTAATACACAGGATAATGGATTATGGTTCTTTATGGTCACATAGATAATGTCCATGGTTGCAGTGTTTGACATCTACACGTCTACCATTTAGATTGCAACTGTGTAACAGATCTTTCTTGATGACTTGTGCAAAGATCATTTAATTTGTAACATGACTATGTGTAATCAGAAAAACTATGGCTTGAATTGTTATAGTTAAAATAGATTGTACATTACACAGAATTGACATTTCTGTTCTAATAAGAAAAACACTTGAAGTTTAAGTATGAAGTTTTTATTGTTTGTGATCTAATGCTGAAGATGCATACATTATAATAAGTTCAAGGCTCAGAAGAATGACATGAGTCAAATCTTGAAAATCAGGTGGAGCGTTCATGTCATGAGACATGCACAAATTACCACTCAGCAGTGGTAATTTCTGGTGTCCCTAGAATTGCTCTTCAGACACTCATTTCTGGTGTCCCCAGCCGTGATGTTGCTGGAATATTGCTAAAAGCGGCGTAAAACCATACTCACTCCCTAATGTTAGCATCTAGTTTGGACTCGTATATTCATGACACTCTCAGATTGTGTCCTCTCTACATTAATCTCCTCCAAGGCTGTATGCCACACCATGTGGCGTACTGCTGGATCAGTAAGTAAAAATGATATTTATCTCATTCTCCCACCCGTCACTCCGGTGACTTGCTTACAAATTCATGACATGCATCCACTCATTTATGGATACAAGAATACACTTTGTAGTTCAAAATGACCACTTAAATATTAGCTTACTCACCCATCCACACACTGTGACATTCATTACCAATTCACTCCATCCTCTCATGCTTGAAATATAAATGTTGAGATTGACATTACCAGGTCTTCATAGGTTTATAGCACTTTAGCAGCAAAACTGCTGATGTGGGCAACGCTCTCTTATGTCAGAGTCAGACAATCATTGTCATCAGTGCAATAGAAAGGAGTACTTTGTAATAATGTAGAATATTGTCAGTGTCATTATTTTTACATTCACTCTCAGTTCATGATGGGGAGATAGTTATCTGTCCCTGCTCTCAACGGACGATAATAATTTCTTTGAGTGGCATTTTAGAAGTTGGGAAGTACAATATAGACAAAATTCATGGATAACAACTTCTTTGTTGTTGTTATCCATATAGTTTGTCTATATTGAAAGACCATAATGCATGCATTGGGAGTTTTGGCCCATTTTTACTCTACTGAGGTGGAGTTTTAGAGAGTCACAGTTAATGATATTTCACCTAACTTCAGTGCTTATAGCAAGGTCTGTAATCAAATCTAGTTTTTAGAAACCACTGAATTAATGAAGCTGAAATGTGATATGCATATTTGTACCAGTGATGAAACCCCATTTATCAAGAGTTTAAATTCTGATTTTCAAAATGGCAGCTCCCTATTTTTGGAGATTACGCAATTGAATAACGATGTGTAGACAGTTGTGTGTAGGAAATGATTTATGCATTTTCATGCAATATTTTTTGTTTTATTTCAAATTATCTGACCTTTCCACTTAAACCATGCTCTTAAATTCTTTAAACTTTTAGTCAATGAAACTTTAACTTTATATGTTTCGTCCCAATGACTCCTGAATTAAATCACGCAGTATGAACTGAAAGTTTAATGAAATTGAATGATTTTGTTCAGCTAGTTATGAGACCCTTTGTAAATGTGTCAGAATGAAAGTCTTGAAGTTTGGCATGTAAAGTTCCCCTTATGATGACAACATCAAGTGTTATTTAGTCAAATCATTGGTTTAGTTTAGGCGTTTAGTCATAAGCAGAAAACATGATAAAATATCAATGCTGACAACTACGGTCATTTGCAGTCTTGTTCACACGTAAAGCTGTTGGCACTATATATTTGAAGGTGAGCTACAGTGTAATGTCTAACAGCTTTCATATGATTGACGTGTATACTGTTTTATAGGTTTGGGAACCGCATCCTCAGCCCTGTCTGGAACAGGGACAACATTGCCAGTGTTGTCATAAGTTTCAAGGAGCCGTTTGGCACTCAGGGAAGAGGGGGATATTTTGACCAGTTTGGAATCATCAGGTAAGCTTGGTATGCAGTGTTTCTTTTGTTTATTTAAGACATATCAACAGGGACAGACATGATAAACCTTTCAGAATCATGATCAGAACGGGTCCTCAGAAACCTATGCAGGTCCCAATTTCTCAAAAGAAACTTAAGTCTGATATTTGACTTAAGTTAGAGTTTTTACTCAAATTTGAGAAAATGCATTTCCCAGCATGAACTGAAATCGGTATTAAACTCAAACATAGTAGACAATTTGAGTTTGGTGGATAGATTACTTAAGTTGTTTGGACTTTTGTATTTTTTAAAATGCAGTTGAGTTAAACATTCAATTGTTTCAAATTGTCAAACTCAGTTTGAAATTTGAGTAAAAACTTAAGTTTGTTTTGAGAAATCGGGTCCTGGCCTTATGGATCTTGAGTCCATTGACTCGGTTTATGGCTTGTCAAGTTCCTCCTATGGCATAGATTGTTGCTCATGATATCAACCCCAGGATTATAATGTTATGGTGTTGAATCTGTTATAATCAAGCACTTGTCATAGTACAGAATATTGTTGCCATGTGCATTAAGAAATAAAACATGTGCATCTGCTTGGTACACTCATGTGATCTCCAGTTACACTTCTTTCAAATGCTCGTCACGCCGAAGACCCGGGTTCGAATCCCCACATTGGTACAATGAGTGAAGCCCATTTCTGGTGTCCCCCGCCGTGATATTGCTGGAATATTGCTAAAAGCGGCGTAAAACCAAACTCAGTCAGTCTTTCAAATGCATATACAAGTTGGAGTACTAGGTAAGGATAAGATATAAGGATGAAAAGCGTCTTTATGTATATTGAGGAGTGACATTCTGGAGAAGATTCTTACACAGTTGCTAAATAAATAAGTTGCTCATCTATATATCTTATCCTTACTTAGTCCAGTTACATGTTTCAGAGTTGTGGTTCAGGATGTGTTACTTTGTTCTAGACGAAATCTGCTGACTCAGGTTTTTAACTGGTCGAGGACTTACTCGCCAGCCAGTGGCCAGATCAAACCCAAGGACATACAAACTTTCAGAAATATTGTTGCTGAAATATCTTTTGTACCTTTGGTCACATATGGTTTTACAATGAAGCCTGTTTTAATACGTCCCTTGACAGAGATGTGATGCAGAACCACTTACTCCAGATCCTGACTTTGGTTGCCATGGAGAAGCCACCTTCAACAGGAGCTGAAGACATCCGAAATGAGAAGGTTGGTGGAGCAATGGGGTGTGATGTGGGGAGGCATACACCATATATTAAACGAACAGTCAGGATAATATGGGTTGTAGGTTGAATTGATCTTAGATACTACACACCTTCAGAACAAGGAAGATTACAAATGTAAAGTTACTTGAAGTGGAACTTCCCCTGTGCAGATCGAGGTTTGACTTCTTGATATGACAAACGGGATTGGGGTCAGGTTCACTAGCAGTTGATGTATGTCATCCAAACACAATTATGCTAGTCGATGGCTATGGTATCAAACTCTAGACCTTCTTGCTCAAATGTTACACAATGCTTTCAAACTAAAAAATACAGTGGCCTGAGCATGTGTCAAATTATCTATAGTTTCATACAAACATTGTACCAATGTTAGACTGTAGATAAAGATCTACTCCTGTGTTATATTTTTGTCATCAGTGGTGTTGAAGTTCACAGGGTATCTATCACCGCATGTCAACGGTATTTCAATTAATTTACAAAGCTTTGCCCTCAATATGGATAATGTTCCATCTTTTGGAATGGCGGTTGGGTAGCCTAATGGTTAAAGTGTTCGCTTGTCATGGCCTGGGTTTGGTTCCCCACATAGGTACAATGTGCGAAGCCCCTTTCTGGTGTCCCTTGCCATGATATTGCTGGAATATTGCTAAAAGCGGCGTAAAACAATACTCACTCACTTCCATCTTATGATAGCTTAGTTTTGTATTTCCAATCACTATTTGTCAGCACATTAGTTCATTTGAAATATGTTCAACATAGTTTAAGTTGTTGTTTTTTTATTGTGTAGGTAAAGGTGTTGTGAAGCATCTTGCCCATAAAGATGGACGAGGTGGTGCTTGGCCAGTATGTGGGCAAGAAGGATGGCAAGGGAGAAGAGAAGGATGGATACCTTGATGATCCCACCGTCCCCAAGGGTAGGTACAGATCTCAGCTGGGCAGGTTAGCTAGACTGACTCTTATTATCCTATAGTCTTAAGTAGGGATGATGATTGGCAGAAATTCTGTATTACAATATACTGCAGCTTCTAGAGAGTGTGCAAAATAGCCACTAGCTCGTAAAAATCCAGTCGGGCCAGTAAATCTCCACAGTCACTGGCCCGACTGGCTAGTGAATTTCCATGGGGTCATTTTTTTAAATATATCACTCTCTCCTACTTGTTAAATTAGGGACCGTTCATAATTTATGGCTAGGGGGTGATGATGATTTTTTTTTTCTGGGGGTTTCACCCATTTGTTCTGGGGAGCAAGGGGGGTCAGCAATTTTGTACATAAAATGTGTGTTAAAAAATATGCTTAGAAATTATGGGAAGGGGGGGTCATTGATTTTGTACATAAATTTTAGGGGGTCATTCACATTGTACATGCTTCTCCATAAAAATCCTATGTCCGTTTTTATGACAAGTATCGCATGAAGATCCGGGATAGAATTGGTCTTTTGCAATCCATGCTTATCATAAGAGGTGATAATGGAATCAAGTGGTCAGACTCACTGACTTGGTTGACACATGTCATCTAATTGTGTAGATTGATGCTCATGATGTTGATCACTGGATTGTCTGGTCTAGACTGGATTATTTACAGGCTGCCGTCATATAGCTGTAATGTTAACTTTGAAATATTTGATCATTTTACCTAATGGCATTTGCCCACAGAGAGCCTATATCATTTTAGAAAGTAATGATGTGGACAGGTAAAGCTGTGCTGTGTAGTGTGTTGACCAGGAAGTATGTGTCCTCTGATACAACCATTTTATGGCTTCAGGTTCAGTGACTCCAACATTTGCCACTGCTGTGTTATTTGTGAGGAATGAGAGGTGGGATGGTGTGCCATTCATACTCAGGTGTGGTAAAGGTGAGCAATTCAAATTAAATCAATAACATGTTGGTGCATGTTATCATTTACCCATTAACAGGTCAGTTGGGCTGTTTTATTTCCTACCATGCTGTTCATTTGTAAAATTGGTTCAGGAGTGAAAGTGGTCGCTGGAGCTGACGTGATTCATTACCTGAAACAAACTGATGGCCAATTAAGGGTATAAGACATACCATGCTACCAGCATAGAAGTCCTGCAGTGTGGATGAGCGAATACCGGTTTAACTGGTTTGCCGCTGTGCAGTGATATAACTGAAATACTGTTCAAAGTGATGTTGTTTACGCATGCATGCCCACATATGCTGCTTAACATTAGTAATACTTAAATGGGTAATAATATGGGAAGATTGGATTTAAGACATGGCAGTTTTTCCTTGTAAGATATTGGCACAGATATGTTTCTGACACTGTTCAACTGGTTTGTCTTCTCCACACTGGACATGGTTCAGGCTGCTGTGACATTAAACCCTATTCACTCACTCACTCACTCACTCACTCACTCACTCACTCACTCACTCACTCACTCACTCACTCACTCTGAAATCAAATGAAAAAGTAATGAAGTTTGTTCTAGATTTTCTTTAATAATATTTGCTTTTATATCTAGTTTTGTGATGCATAATAGTTTAGTGCTTGTTCACTATTATCACATTTTAATGTTAGTTACGTTTGTGATATTCTCATTTATTTGTAGATGTGTTGCAATGTCATAAAGCTGAGACCTTGTGGTTATGTAACTATGAAATAATGAGGTGTTATCTTTATGCAGCCCTGAATGAGCGGAAGGCGGAGGTGCGTGTACAGTTCCGCGAAGTGGCTGGGGATATTTTCCCTACTGGTGAGGTGAAGCGCAACGAGCTTGTGATCCGTGTCCAGCCCAATGAGGCCGTGTATATGAAGATGATGACCAAGACTCCTGGAATGGCCATTGAATGTGAAGAATCTGAACTTGACCTCTCCTACGGAAGCCGCTACAAGGTGAGTTGAAACTTACTTTGATAGTGCGTATAGGCATTAGATATTCTTGATGTTTCTGTTTCCACCTTGATCTCTCCATATAAAACAATGCCAAGCAGAACAGGAGATATGATTTAAATGGTAAATCATTGTGTCTAATGATGTTTTATCTCACATGCTGTGTCAGCTGGTTAGTTACCATGGTTACTGCAGACCCCAATCACCCCCACCCCTCCTTGCCCTCATGATACTGACCTTAGAAAAAAGGCATTTATTCCAAGAGAAAACAGTACACATGAACAGAATCAAGTAGATCCAGAACGAGTAGAATTCGTTGCCTTTGTTGTTCCTCCAAGCAATCTACAGTTGCACTTGCATTTGCAGGAAGTGAAGCTCCTGATGCCTACGAAGCCGCCTAATCCTGGATGTCTTCATGGGATCCCAGATCCACTTTGTCCGATCTGACGACGAGCTGTCAGAGGCTTGGAGGATATTCACACCACTTCTGCACCAGGTGGACAAGGAAAAGCCCAAACCGATTCCATATGTCTCGGCAGGTCAGTGTCCCGTTGGTTGAAAAACACAGAAATAAACTCCACAGATATATACACGCCTTGAAAGTAGAATCTGGAAAAATGTTGATCATCGCCATGAAAATTATACCAATTTGGGTACTACCTGATCCTACTGTCTTGTTTCATTAACTGATGACTGAATCAGTAAATTTGCAGCTATTCACACAGAGCTATAGACCACATAATGCTCTTATTAAAGAACCCATATCAGAATCTAACAAATTGAAGAAGCTGGTTTTAAGAACATGAGAAATAAATGGTGTTATTGTGCTTAATAGTTTGATGGAGATTATTTCTGAGTTACTGTGCTTGTATTTTTATAGCTAATACCCATGCTTTGTGACTAACACATTTTGAGTATGTCATCAGGGGTTAAATAACATAGACATGTGGACAAACTTGGTTCTAGATTTGAAGATTATTTCCTTGGCTGAAAATGTTTTAAAATCTATGTATAAATCAAGAGACTTCAGCTGCAAAAAGGCTATCCATGTAAAGACACCTAAACAGTGAGTGAATAAGGTTGAATGCACCTTGCAGCAATATTCCAGCAATGAGGGACAGTTAAAAGCACTTCACACATTGTCGCCTGTTGGGAGTCAAACAAAGGCTTTAACCATTGATACACCATTATCCAGGAATACCACAAAGTGTTCACATTTGCTGCTAAACATTAGACAGTTTTATATTTTCCTTATCCTGACTCATGCTCTTTTGCTTGTCTTCTTCTTCTTGCGAACATAGTGGAACACTTGTATCTCCTTATTTGAAGCTCCCTTCAAAATAAAATCACTAATTGGTACTCACCACGAGTTGCTCCCCTTTGTCTCCTGAAGGAAAAGGTGTCGCCACCCTCTGGCCATGTGCTCCACTCTCCTTCTTAAGCCCAGTGAGCAGGATGTGAGAGCCTTGTGTCTCCTTACACATATCCTTTGATAATCTCTTAGTTTTTACCTCCTCATAGGTTACTATAGAGGTATAGCTAGTATCCTTTACTATTTGTATTGATTAATTATCATGATTTCTACTGTTTATTCACGTGTATTATCGTATTTAGCTAGCTTTACGCGTTCATGAAAATCTGTACGATTTGTAGATTACGTTTTCTGCCTCCGATCCACATGTAATATGCCCTTAGTTGTTCTACGCAGGTGTGCGTTTAATTCACGTTGCAGTTACTGCATTAATTTATCTCATTCTGCATTTAATAAATATCATCTTTGCGTCTTAAGACGTGCTGCAGATAGATCACGCAAACAAGGGCAAAACATGGCAGAGAGTCCAGATATTCCTTCCAGTCAGCTGCTAGCGATCGACCCTCTCCCGTCTGGTGTTCTGCTAGAGACCCTGCGGCAGAGGAACGCGGGGAATATGAGTCCGTTACCTCAAGAAGCGACCAGCCTCCCCAGACATCCTGGCCATTGCAGACCAAGTCTAAGAGGGGCTTCATCGTGATGCGATCTCAACGCAGATTGAGGACACCCAGGGCAGCGCCACTTCCCAAAGGGAAATCTGAAGACAGCAAGAACTTTCTCAGCCGAGATCGTTCCAGCAGCAGAGTTGGGCCTCTACGATGATCAGCCGATAATCATCCCGACTTACTGACAGAAGAAGGCGACCCGGTGTCAGCGACTGTGACTTCTGCAGAGATCTCCATGCAGCCTGATGCCTCTACACGGCGTCAGACGTCATTGATGTGAACCCCATCGCCAGAAAGAGCGCCCGGCGACTTCGCCTGCAGATCATCCCAGAAGACATGATGCGGCCAGATTATGAACATCATGGAGGACCACTACAAACGCCTTCGCAAGCGAAGGTCCGAGCAACCAGCGAAGGCTCCAACGTGAACAGCACCCCAGAGGCACCCCGTCAACGTAGCAGCCAAGGCGATGTCACCTTATGCGGCGAAAGGAGTCCGCGACCACCTTGACGAAGGACCTAGATGTACAGCCTTTCGCGGCCTTCGCGAAAGCGGCGGGAGAGATCATCACCATCTTCGATTTCATCTCTAGATATGGACTCAGACCATCAGACATCACGGAAGCCTTGGCGAAGGTCATATCATCGATCCCGGACGGGCGCCAAATGAAGCTTCGAAGGCATTATCGAAGGACATATGATTCCAGCATCTTCATCGCCTAGAAGAACATCGAGGGACTGCCGAAGAGCTTGCGCGAAGCTATCAACATTCACCTCACAAGTCTCGAGAGAAGATCATCCCATAGGCGCATCTCCAATCCGTTCATCACCAGATTGATCACCCATCAGATCTCCACGCCAGAGCTGGTAGCACAAGTCAACTAGATCGCCACAAACCTCATCAGATATACGAACAGCTACACGCCCAGTCCCGAGAGCATCTACAATTTATTAATGATGATGGTTTGGAGGATGATGGAGGAATCATATTTTCTGATGCAGAGATCACGGTATTGGATGGTCCAATAACCTAGATCCTGCCACATCACCATCTAAAAGTGGCAATACGACAGCTCTCAGGCGATATTTGATGAAGGAAGATGATCCAGATGCAATCACTCTACTCCGACGCATCTCGATTGCTTGCAGTGCCACGGAATCTAGATGCAGCTTTCCAGAAAGCTCACGAAAGTTCCAGATACCTACATCTACCCAACTTTCAAGCCAAGAAGTTCTCCACGCGATAACGCCGGACTCCTTCTACAAGGCCCAGGACATGGACGCCAGAACTATAAGATCATCAGCGATGTAAAGAACAAGATTTCCAGATGATGGATGATTACAAGTTGGCTCCCTCGCGAAACCACTTGGCGAGGCGGTATGTTCCTTGGAGTTAAATAGATCTAGGACTGATCAGTGAGACTCTTATTACTAGATTCCGGGAATGCGACGGAAGATGATAGGAGATGATTTATTCTGCCTTGCTTATGCAAAGAAAGATCCAGCCAGTTTTAACGGATCATCTTACATCTGTTTCAGCAGCTGACCTTAGCTGCAAATCGTCAAGGCCTCTCCCTGCCTCCTGTAATTGGGGAGAACTTTACAGCCCACTTTATACAGCCCGTGGTCGACAACATCCATCTTTGTGTGATGAGACAATTCGATAAGGTCGCCAAAGAAGGAAGTCTCTCTAAGGATTCCAGGGAAGTCCTTATGATTAGATCGATGGACACACTAGCCAGCGTCATTCAGTCCAGACTTCACAAGATACTCAGGCGGATCTAAGTTCACGGGCCTGAAAAAGAGCAAGAGACAGGAAGATAGCCAGCTCTAGAGGTAAAGATTCTTTTAAATGGCATGCCCATATGGCAACTATAGAGAGGATCAGGAAGAGGCAGGACTTGCGGAGGTTCCCAGTTATAGGCGCTGAAACACAGGTTGAACGACTGGAGTCTTCCACCCCCAGCCCGTTCCAGTACAACCAGCTCAAGTGGGTGGACGCCTTCCAACTACACTGGGAAAACTGGGGAATGCTGCAAGATCATTACGATCTCCAACATTATTCAACAACACGGATTTCATTATCCCTCTACAGGACCAAGCCTCCGGCTGACAATCAAACCCCCAAGTTGCGATTTACGGCAACATCAACTACCAAAGATAAAAGAGGCTGTCTCATCACTCCTATCCAAACAGGCCATAGAAGTAATAGATCAAACAAGCGTCAGACGACCAGGTTTCTAATGCCCCAGGTTTCCCTGGTTCCCAAAGAAAACTCCATCGGAGGTATACAGACTCATCTACAACATGAGCTTCTTTCAACAAGAAATATCCTGCATAAAACCAATCGTTTCGCGTGATGATACATTTTCCTCAGTTCATTGTGATGATTAGATCCTATGGACTACATGGGCTGCATAGATCTACGGGATGCCTACCTGCACATCCCCATTCATCCCGTTCAGGGAAATACCTACGATTGAATTTGGGGAGGGCTACCATTACCAGTGGAAAGTAATCCCACATTCGAATATCATCAGCCCCTGGCTATTCACGAGGATATGAAACTAAACCGATTATCACGCTCTACATCGGGCTAAGGAGCTACGAAAGTCGCGTTTACCTCGACGACGTAGGATAATAAGTAGATCAAGGATCCACTCGCGCCTCAAACTACGGATTCAAGGTACATCATAAAGCTACTAACACAACTAGGTTGGTTAGTAAACTTACATAAGTCGGACCTAGTACCATATTAAAGACCTACAGTTCCTGTGGAATTATTCGATTCATCACAAATCGCCAACTGTATTATGGTACCAGAAGACCGTTGGCTCAAGATACAACAGACCATTCCACCAGCTCTACTCTCTGGGTTACCACTCACGACAATGGCAGAGCCTACTAGGTCTTCTCACATCAGCCCAAGACATGACTGTCACGGGCAGGATTACAGTTACTGCGTCCCTACAGGTCCTCATCAGCGCACATCTCAACGCATGTACAACCACATTCAGTCTGCCAAAACATCTCAGACCACGTCTACTATGGTGGACCAAGAAATCCCGAATGTCTCTGAAGGGTTTGTTTTAGCCTTGGAGGCAGGAATACAAAACCCATCTGTATGTAGATGGCGTCCTCCAAGGTTGGGGGCTCATCTCACCAACCACGATATCAGGGTTATGGAATCAGGAAGAATGCAAACTCTATATAAACAGTCTTAGAAATGAAAGCTGCGTCAATCAGCATGCGTTTACATTGGAGCCGCATTTCTACCACAAAATCGCTTCTTAATGATCCATACAGACAATTAGACCCAGTGGCTCTCTACCAGGCATAAACAAGCAAGGCTCAAGCTGAGATCGATGAACGCGCAGACTTCTAAGCTTTCAACTGTTGATTTAATACAAGATCTAAATCTACATGTCAGAGCAGTGCACATTCCCGGAGCCAGAAATAATATACTAGCAGGCGGTCTCTCCTTATGCCTCATCTACCATCACCCGACAGAAATTGTGTGATGATCAACGGAAATTTTGCACAGATAATCAAGCAATTAGGAG